GCAATCTGTTCAAAAAGATTTGATAGATGTTTTTAAAATGCTGCGCCCTTTTTGTGTGGAAGATGGTTTTATAAATTCTGGATTCAGATGTTTAATTGAGCTTTGGTTGAGGGAAAAACATAAGAAAATTTATCAATTGGTCAACGACATTGGTCACGATAGTTGTGTATTCAAACAAAGAAAAAATTTAAAAGAAGGTATTTTTTTCTCAAATGAATGTCTTTTTGAATATAATTTGAGATCAGTCCGGAGTGAACCAATATCTGTATATCTCAATATAATTGAACACAAATGTTATTATTTACATCCTGAACAGATTAACCACTTTCCACTTGCAAATGCGCTTGTAGACGTTAATATAAACAAAAGAAAGCCATTTGCTGATGTAAAAAATGAAGATTTTTCTGATTATAAACAATCAAATAAAAAATTTGAATGGGTTGATTTTTAAATTATTACAAATGATGACTCTTTTATTTGCAATATGATATCATTAACAGCTCTAATCAGTGCGCTCGGTCCAAGGGCTAGACTCCTTTCAGAAAGTTCTAGAATGTTCATGACCGTCTATTCATTTCCGTTTCCAACAAAACGTTGAGAGGATTGATAATATTGAATACAAAGGTTAAGATAGTCAACAATGCTATGAGGAGGTAATAATTAATTGAATACGATGGTTTAGATAATCTACAAGAGGATAAGAGGGGAAACAAATGATAGGGTGTAATGGAAAAGGCAATATAAATCAGAGTCATTTCGAATTCTGAACAATTGAGTCACATTTACGTTTAATTAACAACACTTGGTAGTGAGCTTATTTCGTGTCACATCAGTTTTTTTTCAACGGAACAATAGTCCAGTGAGTCCAGTATTTTCAAGTTCTCATCGTATAATAATTCAAAAGTAAGTTAATAAGTGATCTTTTCCTCATGAAGCTGCTTCAGATGATCTAATATGGTCTCATTTTATTTTTATACACAGTCACCTTACAAATCAACAACGTTGTGCCCGCTAGACGTGTGTGACCAAGTGCTTCAAAGACAATTGACTATTTTTTGGTAAGAAAAGCATTTTTTCGCCTCGTCTTGTGATGATTTCACTTTTTTGTTGAGATTCTTCAACTAAATCATTGTTGAATTATGTTTCAGCTTTTGACTAGTTTTTCTTTTTTTGTTGAATCAGTTTGAGCTTTCAATCCGTTTAATCTTATTAAGTCCTATCTGGACTGGTACCAACTCTTCGTAATTCATTATGGAAATTCTAGATGAACATGGCAATTCAGCTACTTTGTTGGTTTTCTTTTCACGATTTCTCAAAAACTACTTGACCGATAGGGTCAATATTTCGTCCGAGCGAGTTTGGCCGATACTCGATTGTCATATTTCAAGGTCAAGGTCATAAAGATTATTCGTGAAAGAACGCATTTGAAGGTCATTTGAAGAACTTTTTGAAAACTAGAAAATTTTTTAAGCTTGGTCATGAAGTCCAAAAATAATAATATCACAAAGCAACGTTGGTATTTTGCTAAAACAAAATCGATTACTTTAAATAACTTTTTACAGAAAGCAAATTGCATCAGACCCTGTAAGTACATGATAAATTAATAGACCAAAGTATGAGTGCGACTCATGATCATTAGCGATTATCATAGGTAGTATTAGGACTGATATTTACATCGAAAATTAATCAATTCACACTTGGCGAAAAATTTTTATAGACATTTTCTTTCTCTATGGACATTACATGATAAATAGGGTTAATAGACCAAAGTATGAGTGCGACTCATGATCATTAGAGATTATCATAGGTAGTATTAGGACTGATATTTACATCGAAAATTAATCAATTCACACTTGGCGAAAAATTTTTATAGACATTTTCTTTCTCTATGGACATTACATGATAAATAGGGTTAATAGACCAAAGTATGAGTGCGACTCATGATCATTAGAGATTATCATAGGTAGTATTAGGACTGATATTTACATCGAAAATTAATCAATTCACACTTGGCGAAAAATTTTTATAGACATTTTCTTTCTCTATGGACATTACATGATAAATAGGGTTAATAGACCAAAGTATGAGTGCGACTCATGATCATTAGAGATTATCATAGGTAGTATTAGGACTGATATTTACACCGAAAATTAATCAATTCACACTTGGCGAAAAATTTTTATAGACATTTTCTCTATGGACATTACATGATAAATAGGGTTAATAGACCAAAGTATGAGTGCGACTCATGATCATTAGAGATTATCATAGGTAGTATTAAGACTGATATTTACATCGAAAATTAATCAATTCACACTTGGCGAAAAATTTTTATAGACATTTTCTTTCTCTATGGACATTACATGATAAATAGGGTTAATAGACCAAAGTATGAGTGCGACTCATGATCAATTCGATACAGTTCATTTCGCCTTGAACCTAAAGCTGTTTATAGGTGTAATGGTACTTGCGTTGACCTTAGCAAAAGATTTCGATAATTCTAGTAACGATAATGATTCGTAAAACTCTTGACCTTCGATGAAAAGCTTTATTATGTCTAGTATAGTGATGGTCAATACAGAGTTATAATCGGTGCAATTAATTGGCGAGTAATAATAGTTAAAAAGGATGGTAAAGTACCGTGAAAAGAAAATACTCTCAAGATAAATGTTGTCTCGATGAAACTGTTATCCTTGAGGCGGAAGTTTAGCGTAATAAAGGTTACGACTGGGTATGAGAAGTACAATATTTAAGTTCAAAAGCTATTCTTATGGCGAAGGATCGTAGGTTAAGGTTACTAGTTATGATGAGATATGATTATGAATAAAAAGGAAAAGGTATGCTAATATGGTTAAGAAGCAAATAAATTTCCAATGAAGGTGTCAATAATGGTAAAGGTTCGGATGGTAATAGATAAAGAGTTGATAAACGGTTATGGTCAAGATAAAGGATCGAAGGTGAAAGTCTAAGACTAAGTCGACCAGGTTAACTTAAGGTAATGGATCAATGGTACAAGTACAAGCATGCAAAGGTTATGAATAAGGTGAAGGATCAATTGGTACCAAAAAGGAAAAGGAAAAACAAGAATACTCAAAAGCCTAAGGCTTACCTTGAAGATGGTCCTGTTACGGGTCAGTCTGAGAGGGAGCTGAGCGGCGGCTTAGCAGCAAAGAAGGTTCTGGGGAACACAAGTATGGTGGTAACAGCGAAACTGGGGGGACACGAGATTGGAGGTGATGGTGGTGAACACCAAATATTTAAAATAAAACTTCTTAAAACTAAAACTTCTTAAGAGAAGCGTAGCACAGAGAGAGAAAGAAAAACAACTAAGTGTTGATGTTGATGGTGACAATGTTGAACTGTAACTGACTTCGCAATCCTCTGTCTTTCCCTCTTTCTCTTTTATAGCCAATTCGGCCCAATGCGAAAGAGAAAAGACAGAGCAAAAGAAAGAGGTTTGACCCCCCCAAACAAAGAGAAAGAAAGAGCCTCTTTCTTAGGGCCCCAAAGTTAATTGGATGCGATCTTAAACTTTTCCTGCTTTTCCCTAGAGAGATGGTCATTTATAATGTCCACCTTTCCTAATGCTTTCTCTCCCTCCTAAAAGTAATTTAGTTTTCCTGCTTAATGTAGAAATGGAAAAGTCATAAAGAAATTAATTTCCCTGGAGAGAGGAGGAGTAAAGATACATACATTTACTTCTCCTCTCTTGTCAATGATAATCAAAATTAATAGGTTTTTGGGAGGAAAAACTCGCAAATAAAAATAATAACATTGGGGTGGAAATCTTCACCATACGCTTCTTACTTTAAAATGGTTAGGGTGAATAATAAGCCACAAATGCGACACTTCTAAAGTCGAATCGAAGACTAAATAAGGCACAATTCACCTTATTGTTTCCCTTTTTCACTTTAACGTTATGTTGAGGTGAGAAAAAATGTTATTTAGAGCACGTTTTCAACTAAATAATCACTATTTTAAACAATAACGCTCATCTTACCAAAAATCTCTATTCGTGAACTTGCCTCAGGATCTAGTGTAGCAGTTTCAACCATGCATCATGTTGTTACTGACCTTTTAGGAATGAAAAAGTTGACCCCAGGTAATGTCCCTCATAGTTTGAATTCAGCTCAAAAAAACAAAGAAAAGAGTTCAGTGAACAATGTTTAAGATGTTTGAGATGTATTGCCGCCAAAGGCGATTACTTTCAATAAAACTTTCTAACTTGTTTTAACATGGTTAGGATATCGCCTTATCGAACACCCTAATACATTCGAATGGCAATCGAATTTTACTTCAAATTTCAGTTGATCGACAATCAACTTACTATACAAACCCTTGTTTGTCTGGGATACAACGGCTTAGATTGATATTCAAAAGTTAAGAATCTTATCTATAAAAATGAAATGGGAAATAATTAGGTGTTACAAAATTGATACAATTAAATACGAACCATAACCAATGAACAATGAAAATTTAATACTACTAGTTGGTTCAATTTTCGATTTGTTTAATTTCAATAATTTCATTTCATTAACATTAAAACGATTTTTCTATTACAATTAATCATTTTTTATACTTTTTCTTGAGTTTGAATCCATTGATTTTTTTACATTAATTGTTCCATTTTACATCTCAGTCTATTTACAACTTTATGGGCATATAAACATGATTAAAAGAGGGGCAATTGAAATACGAAATAATTAGAATAGTTTACAAGGATGAAATAGTTTTAGATCTCTTTCTCGTTAGATGATTAACTGATTGTTTCTCGGTGTTTGTGAGCAGTTTCGGTGTTTATCCATGCGTCGGTCAATTGTCTGAACACTGAAAGATAATATTCACGGCAATCAGTTTGTAGAGATAGTTTCATTTAAAAGTAACGGCAAAACCAATAAGCCCAACGAAAGGTAATCAAAAGTTGGATGAAAATTTCGTTGATGAAAATCAATAGGAAAAGAGACTAGAGAGAGAAAGAGAGTGAAAAGATTTTATTTTGGATAGTTGTTATCTGGTCATTGGATTGATTGGTCATCATCTTGAGCTTGGCAATGATTCATTTTTAGATGCCGAGATGACCCTGAACATTATTGCCGAAAGGACTTTATCAAGTGGGTCCATTGCTCCTCGTTGTATCCATTTCGGGATTGTGGTTCGAGCTTGGGCAAAACCGAGTCTTTGAAGGATATAATCAACTCCATATGGTTCGAGGTTTTTACCGGCCCATGTAATTAGCCTAAGAGTAAATCGAGAGATATAATAGTTTAAATATTATGTAACAATCGAAAAGTTTGATTAAATCACTTACCTAACTGTTGGCTCCAAATGCCAAGTTTGACATTGAAAGTCACGAAAATCTCGTTCGTAAATAATTGATTGTGCTGATGAAGATCCAGCAGAGGCTTCAGATGACATTGGTGTATCTTTATTGTCGTTGGAGGATAAATTGGACTTATTGTCCATCAATTGTTCAGGTTTATCGATTAACTGTGCTCCAGTTGAGCTTCGAGTAAAGTAAATCTGTTTCTCTTTGAAATAGCTGGTAATCAATTCGTGGAGGAAAAGTAAGCCTCTGCATCAACGGCGACGAAAATGTGGTCATCAAAATCGGTGACAAAAGTACAATCAACCTTTGGCTTTGGATCTATTGCCAATGGTGGCCTGATACCTTGAAGATGTTCAGTTTTCAGATCCATTTGGAAACTGGGCAGAGCGAAAATGACCTCCTTAGAGTGATGACATTCATTACTTTTCGGGTTAACGGAGAATCGTCGAGAATGAAATTCCCCTGATGCAGCTGAAGCAGCGGAACCAAAACCATCACCAGATCGTTCAAATTCAATAACTGGGAACCGATTAATTTGATCTAATTCTGAGCCAGCGAAAGTGTACTGAAACCATTCATGGAGAGATTTAAATTGCGGTGGGAACATAACGGTTCGTGAAATTTTACAAACAGTGGCCATGTTGGAATGTTGAGCGTGAAAACAATCAACCGAAAAAGTGGCCTCATCAACATCTCGACGACGATCGCGGCGACCAAGAGAGAAGGTAAAATTTTGAATTATATGAGTGTCCGATGAACCTGTCTCATTGTTGACCACATCTTGAGCTTCCGATGCAAAGGAAATTGATGGTTTCAACATGGAGAAAAGTCCCCATGACTTGGAACGGAAATTGATTCCATAAAAACAGGCCAATGAAATATTGTTCCCAATAAGTTCAAAGGTACCACCAAGAATAGTTCCCTTGGTGGGCAGAGGATTACAAAGGGTGGATAGAGATGCACCCGATACAAGACGCAAAACTTTCTGCCAATGACGATGATGACGATAAATCTCATTACTCGGTGAACCAGAATCAACTAAACCCGAACCACTGGATGTTGATGTTGGTGTAGAGGGTTTAACTATGCCCGATCCTCTGGTACTTTTATCCTTCTTGAATGAATTCCTATTAGTTGAAGAGGAAGAGGTAACACCGGAAGAGGAAAAAACCCTTTTCGAATTGTGAAATTGTTGACTGAAAAACTCTTCAAGCTTAGCGATGATCTTCATAATATCAGGAGTCGTTGATTTGGACATTAACAATTGTAATTGATCCCAGGCCAGATTACAATGGATAAAAATACAAGCAGGTCGTTTGGTTGGGTGATTAGAACCACTGTTGGCACCAGCATCGATCCTCCATTCATCTCGAAGTGTTAAATCAAGATCAGACATTCGCAACATTAAGATTGATGTTCCCATATAATCAAGACGCTTCTCAAGTGCATCTAATTTCAATGTGATCATATGATCTGGTTCTTTGCCATAATTTTCCTTAATATTTACTTTCGTTTGAATTTGGGAAATTTCAAAAATACCACCGATAATACCACCCTTGGCATCCAAGGAGGAACCATCCAAACCCAGACTAACATTGACACTTTTATGACCATTTGAGTCGATCGACACTCTTCCCTCTGAACGGAAACCTCGAGTCAACCAACTAGTATTACCCATAACATTGGCCATGTTCATGTGAACATTAAGTTTACAAAGGTTAACACCGAAAAGAATCAAAGTTTTCCAAGGTGCATTCATGATCTGTCGTTGTTGTTGATTTGTACCTTCCGATGAGACTGATGAGTGCAAGTGAGAGTGTTTAATGCGATGGGATGAACTTGCATGTTGAGAACGATGAACATCAGTATCTTGAATATTTAACCATAATGAATCTCTACCTCGACTATTTGGAGATTTATTAAAATGACCTGAGGTTTTGATGGACGAAGTTGGTAAACCTGATTCATTAATACTCGTTGATGAACTTGATGTTGATGGCGAGGAAGATGAAGATGAAGATAAATTGTAATCTTGATCAGAGAAAATTGAATGACCAGAGATTCCTTGGTCACCCAAGAACATACGCTTCCAAATGGCCTTTCGATACCAGGCTTTTGGGAAAGCCAAAGTTTCCGTCGACAAATATTTCATTTAAACGAAGCCTAACCAACGCCATCTCTCGCCATTCAATGAAACCATTCATTCAGCTTCTTTTCGCTCTTTGCTTGGGCTTAAGCGGAAGGTCAAAGCCTCAGCCGATCATCAAACTGAACGAGAATTAGCTGACACGCCTCTTCTCCTTCATTACCTTTATTTTGCTTTTTTTTGTTAAATGAAATTATTTGTTTTCATTTTTTTTATCATCTCAGTCCCTTGGAATTGAAAAAATAGACAACAACAATTAACCAATTTTAATTTACTTTTGGTTATGAGTGAGAAAAAGTACCATTGCCCGGTGGAGGGCTGTTCTTTTTCAGAGCAAAAGGGTAAACACTTTAAGCGCAAAATGTCCATTGATCAGGTAAGGTGGTTAAACCTTTTTCTTTTTTTTTGTTCTATTCTCTCACCTTTAATCAATATTATTTCTCTTCTATTTATATTGTCTTTATTTATTGAACATCGATGTTCTAACATTGGAACATAATTAAACTCGACAGCATTTCCTCAACTGTCACTCTGAGCGAAAGTACAAATGCTTCAATTGTGACAAAAGCTACGCTATCGATTGGCAGTTAAAGTATCACCTTAAAACCTGTGGTCTAATCTGGAAGTGCCTAACATGTGACAAATTTTACAAAGAAAGATTGTCTCTGATTACCCACTGTACTCGGCACTCTCATGTTTTACCTGATGAAGCTCGTCGTCGTAAAACGAAAAGTAAAAAGGAAGATAAATCAAGCAGTAGTACCAACAACAGTCACAGTGGTGGAAGTAGTAAAGATACACAAGTGATGATTCTTCCCGTTATGATGCCAACCGCTCAGACAACTGGAAACAATAGCAGCCATAACAACCAAACCTCAAGCTCATCATCATCTCGACATCACCATCAGTCAACTACTTCGTCTTCTTCGTCCTCTTCAAGCTCATCCTCGCGACACCATCATCATCATCATCATCAATCTCCTCATCAAGCACCCAAACAGTTACAACAACCCAATCCTAATCGGGCTCACCACCATCATCCTCCTCAACATCTTCCCAAGCCTCCATTTCAAAATCCAATTGCACCACCAACAGTTGATTATCATCAATTAAATCAAAGGATCAATATAGCAGAACTGTATGCAAATTTACCGCAAATGATGGATCCAAATTCGGGTTATATGAGAGATACTAGTGGACAGTCCGATGTTGAACATTTGAAACACGGTTTACATCATTTTGCTCCACCTCGAGCTCACCTTTGGTCAACTTCTGATTGTTAAAACTTTCTTTTCTCTCCTGTTTCGGAAGCTTTTACCCTCGGCTTAATATGATTCTGTCATTTCTTACACATACAAAACCCAAAACTCAATCAACAATTTATAATATTTACACTAAAGCAAAACTCCTGTTTTACAATTGAAATAACATCCTAAGGCATCATTAATGCAACAACAATCAAGATGTTAATGAGAAAAGTTCAATTCACCAATTTATTAATTTGGTGATGAGTGAAAACACAGAAAAGTTATTCTTTGGCTCCTTCTCATCTCATCTCTTCCTCTTTATCTCATCTAATAAGCAAGAAAAACAATATAACCATCGATGTGTTCACCGTGCATTCATTATAACAATATCAAAATCCACTACAACACAACAATAATAATATCGATAAAGTGAAATACTCGTGAAAAGATCACGGATACACATCTAAATAATTATGCATCTCTCTCTCTCTCTCTCTTATGCTACCTTTTACTTTCTCTCACCTACAAAAAATACTAGCAATTGTAATTGTTATCCCAAAAGAAGTCAAAATGATTCAACTCTGGAGTTACAAAATTTTTCACATATTCCCCTCGATGTCACAGGAAAATCAACTTATGTTCTGTAAATCATCAAATGTAATCATCAATTAACTTTGATAACTGTTGACTTCAACTCTCTCTCTCTCTCTCCCTCTCCCTGCTTTAGTCCAGTGGTTAGCCCCGAGGGCAAGCCTTATCATTGGTCTTGCCAACTTTGCGACTCCACATTTGACTCCTGACAAGGGCGAGTACCAGTGCTTTGATCCTACATCGGGCAAGAGAACCTCTAACGTAGGACTAGGCTCCTACGAATAACCCTTGACCCTTTATCCCTTCCCACAAGCCCGTAAATCTATATAAAGCCGATCGAGTACGTCGGCTAAAATAGACGGGGTGAGGTGCAAACTAACCCTCTGAGACTCCCCTGGTGGGATCCCTTGAACTAAGAAACTATCTCTCTCTCTTCTCCTTTCTCTCTCTCTCTTTCTCTTTACATTCACTCATCATCTTACTAATCTTCCACCTTCCATCCTCCTTGTCCTCCTCTCTTCCAACCGCTTCCTCTATTTTAATTACTAATAAAATCCATCAAACAAAAAACATTTGTGACAAAAATATCAAGAAACAAAATAACATCCAATAATTATTGTTCCCGAGACAATATATTGAAATTATTGTAATTGATTTTATTTCATTGACTGATCTCTGGGTCTAACTTTTCATTGTAAATTGAAAACTTTACACTCGAAGAAACAAAAAATGATTAAGTAAATACATTAATAAAAAAAAAACAAAAACTAGAACATTTTATTCATTTCTCATAAATATTATTAATTCTTAATTGTTATCGAAATTAAATCCATTTGTAAGACTAGAAGAGATAAAGAAATTTTTTAATTGCAATGAAACGGAAGAAAACAAGAAACAATCAACTAATCATTACACTTGTCAAACTATTTAATAATTATAATTTACAGGGTAAGTGAAACATTAATTAACTATTGATTGATTTATAAACAATAACAATTAAATTGTAGGTGGTTGAGTGGTCTTGGTGTCTAATTAATGGTGAACTTGAACTTTGAAGTTGATTGTGAATGAAATCAAGTTAAAGGTGACATTTTGGTGACACAATTTGAAAGAAAATATTTATAAATAATTAACTAATTGATTCTTTTTGATTGGAATATCAATAAAATACAATTTCCTTTGGACTTTTTTCGCTTTGGTTATTGTTGAGTAAATGAAAAGAAAGAGAAATATCAACTCATTGATAGTTCTAAATGCTAATTAGATTAATTAAGGTTCTGATTAATAATTCGATTTCTATTGTGGGGACATGATTCCTTTACATCGCTTTAATGTATCGGTCGGAGCGTGTTCAGTTCGACGGAGAAGTTTTCGAAAATCGAATGGAAATTCCTCTGATACTGAAGCTTTTCTCATACTTCCATCGCTTTTATTGGTTCCCGTTGATGCGGGTTTGAGTATTTTACGAAATTGATATGGACCTTGATCTGATGCTGACCCCGTTTCTGGTGATATGTTATAAGGTTGACCACCGCCACATCGCTGGAACCAACTTTCCACCTCGACCAAAACTTTCTTACCATTTCCAGGTCTCATTTTATCCGATGAAACCGCTGCCGATGAAGATGGCGAACAACTGATCGAGTGATCTTTAGACGGACTCAAGCCCATCCTGTTATCGGCCGTTGGTGTTGTTTCACCAGGACTACAAATAGCATTTGATTTGGACAATTTATTACGATTATGACCATTAACTTTACTCTCTCCTCCTGTGTATATGAAACAAACAAAAGGAAACATTTTAGCATTAGAAACATTTGATTGTCATAAATTAAATTGAATTAATCAACTAATTACCCAATACATCACCGGTTGTTTGTTTAACTAAATCCCACCATTTACTGGAAATTAAATTTTCTTTTTCATGATTTTCCAACCTTGATTGTAACATGTAATCTTCACTTAAATATTTACCCACTGAGATTACCTGAGCCTGTGGCTGATGGAAACTGAAAATAAACGAGAAGCGGAAAAAAAATTAGTTAATTGTTAATACGAAAAAAATCAAAGATCCAATTTAAAATCTAAATCTAAATCATGGGTGAGGAAAGACAATTAGTTTTGATTGATTTACTTTCTCTCAAGATTTCTTAATGGTGCATCCCAAGGATCATCCAAAGTGTAGGGTACACTTTAAATTGTTAGTTAATTGTTATTGGTAAGCATTGCAATGAATAAAGGAAAGAAAATTAATATTTTCATTTGATTATTTAAACTTTTTTTTTGTTCTATCAACAATCAATCGATAAACTTACTTATAATCAATTCCTAGTTTAGATGTTGCCATAAGGAAATGAGATGGATATTGATCATTATGATCAGTTGATTGTTGTTTAGATTGAAATTGATGAATTAAATGATGATGGACAGGTGAACACTTGTCATTGTTGTTGTACTGTTGTTGTTGTTGTTTGGGTGGGGATGATGATTTATCATTGACTCGATTGTTAAAATTGAGACACTGAGGGCGGGAAGAGTGGATTTGATTATTAATATTTTGATCTCTAGACCAGATTTGATTACTATTGTAATTGTTATTATTGTTGTTGTTGATATTTTGCTTATTATTATTATTTAATCCAGGGGATGCTTGATACATTTTCATCCGATCGGCAACAAAATGATTTCCCTTTCCAGCTAATTGTTGTTGTTGTTGTAACAATTGTTTCTGTTGCTGGTAATATAAATGTTGCTGTTGATGATGAAGATGAAGATGATGACCATGGTGACGACCAACTTCAAATACTTGTCGTTGATGAGGAGGGACAATCGGTGCAGGAATAACTCGACGATGTTCATCTAGATGAGGTTTCACCTTTTTCCTCGTTAAATAACCTCTTACACCTAAAAGGATGAGAAGGAAAAATCAGAAAAAAAATTATAAGTATATTTTTCTCATAATAAGGTCACAGTAGTCTTACATTTCTGGATTAAAATGGCCGCTTTTTCGGGCGATTGCCAATATGGACAACGTCCATTTCTTTGTTGCTGTTGTTGGTAAACTAAGGGTGAAGATGATGAGACTGAGGAAGATGAGGAAGAGATTATCATCATATTTTGAACTTCATGAGGTCGAGCTCGTTTCGCTTGGTTCGGTGTTGATGTTGGACTAACAGATGAAGTGTCCTCTCTTTTTGAGTAATCACCGTTGTAATCATATTGAGTTCGGGGACTTGTTTTGGCTTCCATCATACGTTTACGTGCTAACCAACCGCGAGCATATTTTTGCATTATCAATATGGATCGGGCGACATTCCATCGCTCCTTTTCCGCTCGTTTTTAGCTAACCAACGACGGGCGAAAGCTTGTACTCTGATAATTTTTTGGATAACTTCATCATAGACACGAGATAAGTATTCAATATGATAATATTTGAGAAAAACTTTTGTTTTTCCAAGTGCCCAACCATCAAGACCTAAACGAATCAATAGTAAACGACAAGTTTCCCGATCGGCGACCACTTTTTCCTCAAAAGAGAAAACAATAAAACTATATCGACGAAGAAACTCAGCGAATGGTATTCGATGAGAAAAGCCCATCTGACGAATTTTAATTGTCTCCATAATTCCAGTGTAGGCCAATTGCTCGGCGATTTTCTCATGGCTCAAAGTCATCGCAAGTTTTGAATCGTTTGGTTTAATACAACGGACAAAATGAGGAGCACCATTGGTCAGTTTATGAAGTAAATCCATTAATGAGAAACGGAAATAAGTGGCCACAGTTTGTTGGGTTCGTGTTTGACTAACCAAACCATTTCTATCATGATCGAAACCATTTTTACCTAAACCAATTGGAGTTACTGGACTAGTAACTCCATCCAATTTGGTTGGAGCATCAATCGATGAACCCGAATCGGGTTCAGCTCCAATGTAAAGGTGACCTGTTTTGGTTAACGGAAAGGCAAATAGAGCCTTAACAATAGGCACAGACGATTGGCGGAGTAATTGAATAACCTCTAGTGGCACATAATTACGATTTTTTTCCAAGAAATTTCTTGCCTCATAAGTTACCTGATAAACAGAAAAAGTTAAACAATTAATAAACAATTTCTGATTCTCTACGATAAAAAAGGCCAAGGTCACACACAGATACGAAAACGATATAATTACCTTTCCAGCGTAATGCATGACAGTAAATTGTAGTGCATTTGACTTAGGTTTCAAGTAGAAGGAACTTTTTATATTGGAATGAAATTTCTCGATTAACGAGGCATCAGTAGCATTCGGAAAATGTGTCTCTTCATCAAGTAGAACCAGCATTCCAAGAGGACGACCAAGAAACATGTCCAAAACGGGCTTATTATCGTTGAATTCAATAAGTTCAACGTTGATTCCTTCTGAAATATATTCTTGTTGCTCCCAACGGAAAATGTGTTGATTGAAATAATATTGCATTTGCTCATTGGCGATGTTAATACAAAGTTGTTCAAAAGAATTGGTTCTAAAGTTTTCGAATCCAAAAATGTCCAATAAACCGACAGCCAAAGGTTCACCACTATGTTAACAAGAGGAACAATTAACAAATGGTGTAAAATTAACTCAATAATAAGTTAATTGTAGTACTTACTAGACCATTCGGCCTGGTGCAAGAAGACGATTAATTTGATTAACTATCCAATCAAAAAGTCGACCATAAATCGCTTTGGCCATGGCATCTCTAGTTGTTTCAGCCTCTTGAACGGAATGGTTTTTAATTATACTCTCACCACGAGTAACAACAGTGTTACGGGTTAAAGCGGCCACCAGGCTGTTGGCATCAATACGTAAAAGCTGACCCACAATTGGAATGATACTTGGATTGGTCAATTTACATTTATTTGAATTGTGAGTCTCTTCAGCTTCTTCAAATCTAATGTCACCCAAGTGAAGTATGGCCGCTAAAATGGCAATAATTGAATCAGTGTCCTGAATCCACACCATGGAAACCATAATAATAATAGTAAAGAATAATAATAATAATAATAAAAAGGAAGAAAAAAGAAAAAAGAAAAAAAATATAATATTTCATGAAAATCACCATGAAAAACAAGATAATTGCTTCTGGTTATCAAAGTTTAATCACTTTGAATTACAATCAAACTTTTTGTGTTTTCCCTCAAAAAAACAAGTAACTTTTTGTTACTTAATCAGTAATGATAATGATAATAATTCTGGTTATGTAAGAAAAGGGTAATAAGCATTGGTGAAGAAGATGATAATAATTTAACCATGATTATCAATTGTAGTTAACTCACTCTCTAACCATGATTAACCATCCAAATCCCAGTTTACCGTTTCTACTGTGATTATATCATAAGCCTAATGATTATTTCTCCATCTAATTTAGCTATCGTTTCTCTCACCTTAACTCATATAAAACAATTCCAATTAAATTAAACATGTAAATTGTTGCTCCCTAGTTTGATTATACGATAAAATATAAAATTTTACCTTTGAACGAAATCCAAGAAGTTGAAAACTTTGTTTGACCGCTCGAAATGCGGTCACATTTTTTACTATACTTTCGGGATCATGTTGATTACCACCAAGGAAACGATGAGATCGACAATCGGTGTGAACATGAAGAAAGTAATCACTGATTCGACCCTCTTCAGCTAAACCATCGTACATATAATAAAAAATATGATAATTACGTTCACCACTGTGATGAGAGGGAAGAGAAAAAATAATAATAACATTATCAAAAAATTACCCAATTATTTGTTACTTGGTTATGGTGTAAACAGAAAATGATCAACCATGATTGAGAGATAATTGTTCAGAAAAAGGTTATGTGTAATTGTCTTGAAACAACAACAACAACAAAATAAAAGGGTTGATGGTTAGGGTGCTGATGATAATGATGGTGATGATGATGATGATGATAATGTGAGTTGATTGAGTGTTAGAACTTTTTTTTTGACTCTTCAACAGGAAAAAGTGGTTAAATTGTGTTGGAACTTACTTCTGTTGCCAAACTACTCTTGATCGTTCCAACAGGTAAACATATAATTTGGCACCGGTAACTTTACCAGTTTTGGTAAATGTAACATCTAAAAATTTACCAAATCGACTTGAATTGTCATTGATTCCTGTCTTTGCATTTCCAAATGCTTCCATGATTCGGTTAATTTCAAGAATTTTATCTTCAAGGTTACGATTAAGTGCTTTACCCAGAAACACTAAATGTTTCAATAAAAAGTTTGCTGATTCCGTTTTACCCGCTCCACTTTCACCTGAAATAACAATACACTGATTACGACGATGATGTAACATTTGATGATAAGCAGAATCGGCTAATGCATAGACATGAGGTGGATTCTCGTTCTTGGCCTTATTACGATACATTAATGAATGCTAAAGAAAATTGCAGAATATAAAAAAAAAGGTAATTAGTTTTGATTTGATTTGATTTTCTCTTTGAGCTATTGAAATTATTACCTTTTCATCATAAATTCCCAATGGTCGGAACGGATTTACGGCTACAAGTATATCACCAATGTAGGTATATATTTGACCTTCTTTGAACCTTTCGAACAGGTGATTTATTACAATTTCTTGGTTTAAATTTTCCAATGAGGCAAGATCATCGTGGACAATGGCCAGTGGTTCAGATCGACGGTCAACCTTTAATTTACCATGTTTAGTTGTAACCTCAGGGATACGTTTAGGATAACCACAGCCACGAACTTTCAACATTAAGTTTTTCAATTCCATTGCCAACTTAATTGTTCAGAAAAAGAAAAGTAAAATAATAATAATTAGAATCTCTTTTTTTTTGCCTAAATTGGTTCATGTTAATCATTATTCTTACCTCATCATGTTTACAATCAACTTGCTTAATAAAAGGGTGAAGTAAAAGCTCACAAATTTGAGGTCGTTGTTCATAGTCTTTGATAAGGCATCTGTAAATAATTAACAATAATAGATAACAATTAGTGTCAAATGATAATTGTTATTGTGAAATATTAGTCTTAATTGTTGAGGTATAAGAAGGTAGAAAGCATATTATTCAATGGAAAACGTATTATGTAAAATGAGATGTAAATTGTTAACGATGAAATTATTTTTCAAATGAGCAACAATAAAAAGATGATGATGATGAGGATAATGTTGTAATCATGAAAGCGTATCAGGTTAAAGGACAGTAGACTGTGTAAGATTAGTTGGGTGTGGATGAGGAATTTAAATTCTCAATTATTCTGAGGTACCTTGAATAACCTTTCACTGTATTCACACAACAGTTTCATTGTTGACTAACCTTTCATTCAACAGAAATACTTGTCCGGTTGGTTGTATTTGGAGAGGGGAAACAGAGTGAAACTTGGTGACTATAACATGATAATCAATGAGGAGGAGGAGGTGGAGGTGATGGTGGATGTGTAAGAGAGAGAGAGAGAGAGAGAGAGAGAGGAGTGGAAGGGTGAAAAAGATCTGATAATACAGGTTGTTATTTTGGCTTCAGGGT